TGTATGCACTGTTCTGGCTCGTCCTCTGTGTCTTTTTTGGTCTAGCACGTGCGGAGCAGTGCTCGGTTCATAAATGGGTTTTTGGTTTAGCCGTACATGCATACCACGTTATGGTGGCTTGCTTTGTAGAGCATGGTTAAAGCAGACCGTTAGCTTGGCGCGTGCCATGAAGCCATTCATTCTGGTCAACTCCAAGCCCACCAGCTCCCCACTGGGCTTGTCTTTGGTGCTTTTCTGTGGGGAATCCCTGGGGTGCTGGACCCTGAAACCCGGTTTGCATCTTTGGAGGGATTGCACAGGAATGGAGCCCTGCTGCAGGTTGCCACTGCAAAGGGACAGATTTCACCTGGGTGGGGTTCAGCCGTCAATACTTTTAACCATCCTGCGCTGCATTTATAAACCAGGTTTCAAGGCTTTGGGTTCCTCCTCTCGATCCGTTTCCAGGCAGGGTGGGCCCCGTGCCCATTTGAGGGCAACCCCTCCTTGCTGCGGGGAAGCCCATCCTCCTGCTTCCGGCAAAGCGCGGTTGGCTTAAGTGAGCAGCTGTGGGCTGGCTGGCTGGAAGTCGGGAGGAATGGGAGGCGGGTTCTTTAAAGGGGCGTGGCCCGTTGCCGGGGCACCCGGGAGGGTCTCCGCGCGCCCGGGCTGCGTTGCCATGGTTTCGCGGCCTTGCCTCGGGCTGCGTCCCCGCCCGGCCGGGGTGGCGTCGTCGTTCCCGCATGGAGGGAGGCCCGCCGGTGCACGCGGGGGCCGGGAAGGGCGGCGGCAGGCCGGGTTGCGGTCCGCGGAGCGGAGCGGGAGGCCTAGTAGCGGAGGGCGCTGGAGAGGTAGACTGCTCCTTCCCGGGGAGGCTCCTCCTGGGGTCCCAACGCGGGCGCTTTGGGCGGGGACCTCTTAGTTGGCCCGCCAGAGTAGACAGGGCCTGTACGGGGAGGCTCCACTCAGGGCGGCGCGCTTAAAGAATGGACTCACCCGCGTTTTTCAAAACACGGCTAGAAACAGTTGCTTATTTGTTTATTATATTCTGGCTATATGGCCGCCCCCTTTGCAATGGCGACTCTGGGCGGCTAGCGAAGCTTAAAACACGAAATACAAAGAGCAGTTTTTTAAAAAAATATATTTGGGGAACGTGTGTGTGTGTGTTTTGACATGCGCAGAAAATGGGGGAAAATAGCTAAAGGAAAAAGAGAAGAAACGAAAAAGCAAAGATTTGGGAGTTGGGAGGCATACAAACAGGATAAATAAATAAAATAAAAATCTCTGTGTGTGTGTGTATACGTATACATATATATATGTACACACACAAACACACCTATATATATACAAATGTGTGTGTGTATATATATATGTGTGTGTGTATATATATATATACACATTCACGTGTATACATATATGTATGTATGTATGTGTATATATGTATATGACACACACGCAAACCTATATATACACAGAAACGTATGCGTGTGTGTGTATATATATATATACACATTCACGTGTATACATATATGTATGTATGTATGTGTATATATGTATATGACACACACGCAAACCTATATATACACAGAAACGTATGCGTGTGTGTGTATATATATATATACACACACACGCATACGTTTCTGTGTATATATAGGTTTGCGTGTGTGTCATATACATATATACACATACATACATACATATATGTATACACGTGAATGGATGAATACATAGATGGATGGACTTCTCAATGAATTGGACTGCACCTTCCATCCTCCCCAGCCGTTGGCAGTGACGGCTGGGCAATGTGGATCGATTTGCCCATTACCTCCTTTTATTCGATTTCTGTAGCTGCCCGTCCTGCCAAGGCGACTCTGGGCAGCCAACAGGGTTTTAAAAACCGAAACCAAACTGAGCCAACAATCCAGCATAAAACCAAAGCAAAAAAGAGTAATTCCAAGAAGAGCGACAAGAACTGGAACAAACCCTGGCTGGAGAGCAGAGAAGATCTAGCTTCCGGCGTGCTAAGCCAGGGTGGGTTCAAACCATGGTTTGCCTACGCCATAAACCGTGTTATGTCAACACTCGGGGCCCAGCTAGCTGTTCAGCCCTGATGGCTTCCTTGCAGCGGGCACCAACTTGGATCGCTGATGCTTTTCTCTCCTCCAGCAGCCGGGGGAAGCCGAAGGAGGAGGGGACACTGCTGCCCCCCCAGAGACCCAGCTTGCCCACACATGGCATTGGTTCCTGCGTGGCCAGGAGGAGCTGCGTTTCGCCTCTGGGGAGTTGGAGAAGCTCTGGCGGCAGCTGGCGGAAGAGATGAGAGAGGTGGGAGCCCTGCTTTCAGGCGTCGGGCACTGGAGGGAAAAGATGATCTTGAGTTGCACCAACGGGACCCCCGGAACGATTTAGGCTGCCCTCAGCCTGGGGGGCAGCCCCGGTTTCCAGGCACGGGTGGAAACTTGGGGAAATGCCCAAATGAACTTCCAAAATGGGTGCCGTTCATGAATTGGGTAACGTCCAACTGTAGGTATACTTCGCACTGCTCTTACGCAAGGCGGCTTGAATTCCGTGGGGAATCTCCTGTTTATCTCTTGCGGGGACAGCCTTAATTATAGTTTTTTGATACGTAGGAGAGGGCCACAATTTGCTGAACCCTGAGGGCTGTTTGGGGGGGCTGTACTAGAAGCCCCACTGCCTTGCTCCTCCCCCTGCAAGCAATTTGTGTTGCACGGTGTGTAAACAGTGCTATTTTTCACATTGCTTACTCTCACTTTAGCCTCTTCTCACCCCATTTCCAAATATATTTCAGTACCCGTGGGACCTATAAACATCAAGTTGTCCATAGAGGACAGGAGTTTTATACTGATATACCAATCTTATATAACAAGCTGGCCAGGTCCTTGTGGATCATGTTTTGGCTAATGATGGATCTTTCAGTGCCCATGTTTTGGAGATACGCACTGTACTAAAGCACATGGTTTAATCATGGTTTCTTGAACAAGTTACATCACTCTCAGCAATAGACCACGGTTTGCTTGGTTGATATAAACCAGGTCTTCAAACAGAGGCTGGATAGACCTTAGGACTGTCAGATGCCCTAATGGATTAGAAGGTTGGACTAGATAGCTCTGTGATCTCTCCAAGTCTGTAATGACATGCCAAGTGAAAAGCAAAGGAAACCACAAGATGTGGGATCCAGGCAGGGATTGATACGGAGTTGTGTCAGACATTTTCCTAGGGACTGGAAAAGTTATAGTCCTTGTTTAGCAACCACAATTGGGACCAGCAGCTTGGTCATTAAGCGAAGCGGTTGATAAATGAAACTGCCGCTGTGCTTATGATCTGACTTCAGCTTTCCTTTGCTTTACAGACCTGCAAAGGTCATAAATGTGAGGATTGGTCACTAAGTTACTTTTTCATCACTGTCGTAATTGCGAACGGTCACTGTATGAGGCAGTTGCTAAGTGAGGACTACCTGTCATTATTTCAAGTCACACTAAAGTTTAACTGGAGTGAGAGTTCAACTTCTTTTTCCTGATCTCTCCTTGGGAATATTACTTCTCTCAGCTTAGTCTCTTTCTCCAGGCCTACTCTGTGGCCAGGATAAAGAAGGCAAGGCCAAGACAAACTTAAGTTGGATTGAATTTCAGTTAAATGTAATTAAATAATTGCAGGTAATACGATTACCTTCCTCATGGGTTCGTTAACCTGGGGAGTGCACGGGGCCTGTTTTCAATGAAATGGATGCGGGTGTTGGCCAGAGGTCGAGCAGTGCTCTTCAGTGGGGTTGCCGTTTTGGACGTTGTAGAGCAGACGTACCTGCAAAGCAGACAGAGGTGCATGCAAGCATCCTGGGTTGTTCTCTAGGGAGAAGGCAGCACCATGGGGAAAAAGGGCTGGAATTATGGCAAGGTGCTATGAAAGAGCCCTCTCTTTCTTTAAAGCGCTGCATGGTGTCTGCTGGTGGCTGAGCCGTCAGCTGCAGCGGTAGCTGTTTCTCTTCGCTGTGCCGCCACCAAAGCATGTTTCTTCTTGGAGATGCTGGGAAGGGTTTCAGCTATGCATCGCTTCTTAGGTTCCGGGCATGTTGTGCCAGCTGTTGGAAACTTGGGAAATTTCTAATGCAGATGCCCTAGTTCAGCCTCTAACTTGTCTCCTGTTGTCCTTTAAGCCTCTCCAGAGACCTACGCAAACATGGCCGTGTCTTTTTGATCCATTTCATTTCCTGCTTTTCTTGGAGTTGAGAGAACCCATTCTTCCAGGATTTCTGGGTTTCCTGGAATCTTGGGGTCCTGGGTCTTTGTACGATGTCAGATGCCCGCAGGGAACTTTCCGGCGCAAACTCCCTTGACAAAAACGGCCTTCGCACAGGAGCGCTTCCTGAGTTCTTGGGCCTGTCTGATCTGGTGGGAGGAAGAAGTCTGGGTGAGTTTTTTCCCCCGCAGCCTTCAAAGCGGTGAATGAAGACAATGGGAGCCACAGGCTCCTTGTAGGCTACGCCAAGGATAGCTTTCCCTTCTCAGCAGATGATCCATTTCCTTTCCCAACTGTCGTCATCTTGACAGGGGAAAACTCGCCCTTGCCGTGTGGCTCAGCTACCCACCGCTGCCCACACTCCAATTTGTAAAGACTCCTTTTTCTCCTGCGGAGAGGAAGGGCAGGCTACGTCAGTGAGCTCCGTTCTGCTTTGAAGCAAATATGCACAAGGAGGATATCTGGGCGCGTTTCGTTTGTTCTTTGACTTCTGCCAATCGAAGGGGAAAAAGATCAAAACTGAATGTATGGGTTGGCGGTCTGCTCCACTGGCTAACTCCTAGACGTTCATAGTGTAACAACAGCAGTAGCCTCTGTCTGTCTGCTGGCTGGTTGCAAATTTGTTTGCATTTGAGCATGTGAAGTTTGGAAGGAGCAGGCAGCTTGTGCCCCCATCTCCGCCTGGCACAAGCCCTTGTGGTCCAGAGGCCGAAATCTGCAGAGGCACCCCTTCCACAACTAAGGCCCTGAAGTAGGCGGTAACTCTTCAAAGCACCATCACTGCTCAGGAGACAGTCTGGAGCAGCGTTTCTCAACCTGGGCCACTTTAAGACAGGTGGACTTCAGCTCCCAGAAATCCCAGCTTGCAGCCTAGTTTGTGCCAAGACAGGGCTTTGCAACCTTAGCAAGTTGAAGAGGTGTGGGCATCAACTCCCAGAATTCCCCATCTTAAAAAGTTGCTGAGGTTGAAAAGCCCTGTGCTGAGGCATCTTGTTTTATTTGGTTGTGGCACCGCATTGGGTGAGAATTCAGCCACTGTGGGTTGACATGCATGGACTGTGGCCTGAAGAGTGAACTCAGCCCACTGCAATGTTTCGTGTATCATAGATTTTTTTTTTAATCTGGTTTAGTATCATGTGGGAGTTCAGCCAAGAGCTGTAAAAAGCATGTAGATGGGACTCTCTTCTGATGGGGCAGTGGTGTGTGTGTGCAAATGAGAGAGAGAGAGAGCAGGGTGCTGGGGTTCGTCTGTGTTTTGGGGTTTTCAGATTGTTCTAGAGAAGCTGTTCGTGAAGGTCAGCAGGAAATTCATCGTTGCAAAGGGCAGTCAGAATGGCAGAGTGGCTTCCTTTGCCTTGAAGGCCGCTGGCCCCCAGCCCTCCAATCCTTCTCTGTGGCATTGGAAGAGCTGTTTGCAGGAGGCAAAAAATCCCCAGGGGTCCATCAGCCCTTCAAGGTAGGCCAGGTCAAGAAAAGGACCCTACAGGGGCTCCAGGAATGCTGCTGTATTGCTGTAGGATGGAACAGCAAGATCTCGAAGGCCTGGCCCAGTTTCTCTCTGTCCCTTCTTACAGTAGACACAACCAAGGCCAGGTTATTTTGCTTTATTTTTCCCCCCTCACATTTGCTTCAATCTCTGCACTGTGTACTCTTTTCTCAACAGTTCTTTTGTACCTTCTGCAAGGTCAGCTCTAAATTCCTTTACAGATTTGGATATTTATTAGAATGTTTTTGAACCACCTTTCAGGAGAGAACACCCCCCCTTGTAAAACGTAAGCGTGTGAATGTACATTAAATCATCAAAAATTACTATTGATACACTGGTTGAAATGAACTGCACTGTATGGACTAATGTAGCGTTAGTGCATAATGCAGGCGTAAAAAATCTTCAGGTATATATGCTGTGCAGAATTATCCTAAAGTTTCCTCGTCTGGAACACAAGCTCAGTTAAATTCCATTTCTTCGGAATCTGTCCCCGCCGTGTTTGAAAATAAACCAGATCCCAGCTCTTGGACCCTTGAGCAGTTGTGTTGTAGGTACCCCGGAAGTCTTCCAACCAGTGATCCGTTGTGCCCTGGGGAGGAACTTGGCTTGGATTTTCTGGTTTTGGAGATTTCTGAACAGTGGATGGCTGCAGCAGGCTGGGGAAACCAAAAGGATGTTTTCTGGCAGAGGGAGCCTTGCCGGGGAGTTGCGCAGAGCCCTGGTGCCCTCTGGTGACACTCGAAGGTTTGGCTTTCTCTCTTGCAAAGTTTCTAACCTCTATGGCCGCGGCTGAAATTTTACACGATGCCGTGTGAAAATAAGGAATGATAATAAAGCTGTTATGCTAGTGGAGAGTGAGTTGCGGGGGGAGGGCATATGCGCAGGTAGTCAAGAGCCTGCCCCCCTCCAAGAATGAGAGCATGCAGGGTTGCTGGACCAGGTCTGGGGAAACTCAGGTCAAAGTCCACCTTCAGCCACAGAAGCTTTCTGGGTGTTGCAGGAGGAGAGCTGTGTCTCGGATAGCTCAAAACCCGAAGGCATCTGGAGCCCCTTTTCCAACTAACCCGTTTTACTATCTTCTTTCTCTCTGGGGGAGATGGGCGGCATATAAATTTAATAAATAAAAATAATAAAATGCGTAAGCTTTCAAGATTAGGTTTCTCGTTATGCCAAGACAAAACATGCTCGGTTTGCAGTGAGCACATTGTGGAAACGCAGCCGTGGTGACACTCTGGGTTGTGGGAATCCGGTCAGTTGTGCTTTTTCAACCAAACATGGTTAAATCAGCTGTAGCTCAGAGCAGCGCCTGGTGTATCCTTTTCGACCAGGGAGAGGCAGCCCTCGGGTGCAGTCCAGGCCACCCACCGGCTCATAATCGGCACGATTGGCCAGCTAGGGTGGCTTCTGGGGTGCTCCCTAACCTCTCCAGTTGCGAGGATGCTGGGGGCTGCACGGCCTGGGTCGTTGCTCAGCTACAGGTGAAATGGCGTCCCTCTAGTTTGGGCGTTCTGGGTCCAGACTGTTCCTCTCCTTTCAGGTGGAGAATTACGTCGATCACGTCCGCACCTTGACGGAGGCGCGGGATGCTCTGGCGGCTGAATACGAGAGGGAAAACGAGCAGCTGAGGATGGAATTCAGCCAGCTGCAGCTCGAGCACGGTACCTGCCCTTGGCTTCGTTTTCCAGAGTGGAGGGGAGTTTCCTCGCTAGAGAGGTCGGGCCTCCATGGGGGGCAAGCAATGAATCGTGTGTCATACTGCTGCAACGCCAGCTCTAACCCTCCCGTTCTCGCAGGCAGCAGGGTGACGCGAGAACAAAAGGCAGAGCTTGCGTGGTGATGTCACAGTGCGCGTTTCCCCTTGTGGCTGGCTGCAGCCTCCTTTCCTAGAGGGGCCCCTCTCTCCCCCCCCCGCTGCTTTCTCTGCCAGCCCATCACATCGAGGTCTGAAGTTGACAACTTGAGCAAGAGTTGAATCGGTAGCCTGTCAAACCGAGAGACTGAAGTGGAGGGAGTGCTGGCCAGGGTGAACAGGCAGTTCAACCTTTTTCTCTGTTTGGACTTCAAAATAGCGCTCAGTCGAGAGGCGAAGCCTTCTTATTTCTGTTTGTTGGAATTCTAGCCTGCCTTTCCTTTAGAAGCTCGGGCGGAGGCAGGCAGTCCCTGGTCTAAGAACATCTGACTTAAGGACAACCTCTAGATACGAACGGGCTGCTTATTACTAACAATGTCAAATGGCATTGTCCTTCCTCGAGCCGACAAGCCGTCATGAACCGCTGAAGTTGCACGTTTTTCAGTGACTTTCAGCGGTTCGTGAAAACATCGTGCGGCTTCAGCGGTTCACCGGCTCGAGAAGGGAGAGCGCTGCCCACCATTTTTAGTAACGGGCAGTCTGTTCGTAAGTACCAGTTCTGAATTACATACAAATTTGAGTTAAAGACAGAGTTAGGAACGGAACTCGTTCTTAACCCAGGGACTGCTTGTACATAGTTCTCCCTCCTCTGATTTCTCCCCCCGGCACACATCAACCCTGTGAGGTAGGCTGGGCTGAGGCCTCTGGGGCTGGGCGGGGGGCAGACATGAACAAAGGCCTCTCCACGTCTAGTCCAACACCTTTTGCCCTGCATTATTGTGGTGTGGTGGCAAAGGGCCCCAGGAGCATCGTGCGCAAGTCCACAAAGCAGGGAGAGGCTCAGTTCCCCAGGGAGCTGAGCACAAGCAAACCTGAGGGCGTGGGGAGCCCTTTGTAACGTTCAGGCCAGCCATTCCCTGAACCAAGTGCCTTGAATTCCAGGCAGGGCTCTCCATAAGAAGAGAGGCCCCTCCTGCCTCAGGTGTCTTGACTTTCTGGGAGAGTCTAAAGCCCAGGGAAGGGGGTGGGGGCTGTATGTTAAGGACGGGTTGTACGCTGTGCTGAACCCTGGGGGACATCTCTCCAGGTCTTGGGGAGCAACGGGCCACAGCCAGCCCACCCTGTGCTGAGGGAGGGGTCTGCGTTGTGTTCCTCCCCAGAATCCCAGCATAAGGAGGTGGAAGACCTGCTGGAGCAGGAAGGCTTGCTCAGCATAGTGCACAGCAGCCCCGGTGAACAGGTTGCCTATTTGTTGGTGGAAAGAAGCTCTCTGCTGGAGAAGATTGAGGCGCTGGAGCAGGAGCTGGGAGCCTCCCACTGCCTGGGAAGGGCCTGCGTGGCTTCCCTACAAGTACACGGTCCTTTCTGCTCCGGGGGGCGGAGGAGGGAAACCTTCAAAACCCAGAGCCCCAGGGCAGCTGAGAAGGCAGAGATGGGGTTTCCCCAATGCTGGCTTTGTCAGAAAGGCAACCTATTCAGTTCATGAAATAGATTTATCTCCTGCTTTTCATTCAGGGGAGCCTGAGGCGTGTGAAACAGGCGGAAGGGAAAAAAAGGGGCAGGGGGTTTCTAGCAGCAGGAAGATTGTTGAGACGCGGCCCATCTCCGTTCGTCTTCCACCCCGGACAAAGTCCAAGAGCGGGCCTTTTGAAGCCTTTTGCCTGGCGGTGATCTGTGGCCCTTCCAGAATGCCCCATAGCAGAAGCTCCCCGGGCAGAGCGGTTTCCGTTGTTTTGTGCTGTTATGTTTCTGAAACAATAACAGAAGCAGCACGTCACAAAACCAAGAGAACAACAGCCACCTAAAGTCAGAATAAGGTTGCATTTGAAGCCAGACTGAAATCTTTTTTTTTTCCCCTCTCTCTTTCTCTTTTTTTTGCTCAAGGATGAATTGAATCAGTTCCATCAGAGGTTAGATGAGGAGCTTCGCGAGCAGCAACAGTCCGTGCAGCGTGTCCAAGCGACAATGAATAAAGTAAAAAGACACTGAGGAAAATAAGAAAGGAAAAGATATTGATCCGGTCTGAGGGTAGAGAGCAGGCTGGAGTTGTGATATATTTTTTAACAGATAATTAAAGAAAAAAAATTGCGTTGGAAGACAGTTGCAACTCCAACAAAGAGCGTATTTATCTGAGATGTTCCTCAGTTGTCCTTCAGAGTTTCATTCTTCCCTGAGAACTGAACAAAGACCCTCATTTTTATGAGATTCTTTGTCTTAGGAGAGGCTGACAGGAGGCAACCCAAATATTTGGGGAGTGGGGGCAAAACATAATATCCAAATGATCTTGGTAATTCCTGTTAATTTTCCCTGAAGTTCTTGGTCTGTTGCCTCTCACTCTGTTGCCTGTAGCTCTTCAGGCTCTAAGAAAGCTGGCGGAGTTGCTAATAATCTCTGCACGAGTCACCGCTCTGGCCTTTTTTTTGCTCCCTTCCTCACTCAGAGACAATCGTGCAACGTCTCTACCTATGCTAAGGTTTCATGGGTCATTCCTGAGTGTCGGGGAATGCGGAGATAACCTTGAAGAAGGTTTGCAGGGACAATTCAAGAGAGAACTCTGTCCTGGGCAAGAAGAGGGCCTGAGAAAGAAACTCCAGATAATCCCACCTTGAGTCTGCTGGGTATAAGAGGGGGCACAGAGAAACCTGCAGGCTTTCAAGCTTGTGTTACTCTAACCCAGTTTTTCTCAACCTCAGCAACTTTAAGATGTGTGGACTTCAACTCCCAGAATTCCCCAGCC